CCCCTTGCTGTCCCCAGTTGATCCCAGTTACTCCCAGGTGATTCCAGTTGCCCACTGGATCCTCTCCTGAAACCCTCTATCTGCCTCCCAGTTACCCCTTGCTGCCTCTCAGGCACCCCCAGCTGATCCCAGTTACCCCCAGCTGATCCCAGTTACCCACTGGATTCTCTCCTGAGACCCCCCAGCTGCTCACCAGTCCCCCCCACTTTCCTCCCAGTCACTCTGCATTATCCCCAGCTGTCCCGCTCACTCCCAGGTCCCCTCACCCACACCCCCATCTTCCCCCCAGTCACCCCCAGCTGCTCACCATTTACCTCAGGTCACACCCCAGTCACTCCTTGCAACCCCTCCACCTACCCCCAGCTGTCCCAGTTACTTCCAGCTGATCCCAAACACCCCCAGCTGCTCACCAGTTACCCCCACTTTCCTCCCAGTCACCCTCCATTATCCCCAGCTGTCCTGATGACCCCCAGATACACCCACCCACATCCTCAGTTGTCCCCTAGTCACACCCATCTTCTCCCCAGCTACCTCAAGTTGCACCCCAGTTACCCCCAGCTGCCCCCCAGGCATCCCTGGTTGCTCCTGGTTATTTCCAGATGATCCCAGTACTGAATTCCCTCCTGGAACCCTGTATCTGCCCCCAGTTACCCCCCAACTTCTCCCCAGTTACTTCAAGTTACACCCCAGTCACCCCTTGCTGCTCCCCAGGCACCCCCAGTTGTCCCCACTTACTCCCAGCTGATCCCAGTTATTCCCAGCTGCTCCTGGTTCCTCACTGGATTCTCTCCTGGAACCCTATAGCTGCCTCCCAGGCACCCCCAGTGCTCACCAGTTGCCCCTACTTCCCTCCCAGTCACCCTCCATCGTCCTCCGCTGTCCCAATCAGCCCCAGATCCCCTCACCCACACCCTCAGTTGCCCTCCAGTTGCTTACCAGTTACCCCCATTTGTCTGCAATGATCCCCAGCTGCCCCCAGCTACCCCCCTCCAGCTGCCCCTCACCTTCCATCCCTCTCTGCTCCACGTCCCAGCTGTGGGTGCTGGTGGGATTGGGGTCCAGTGAGCGTGGTGGGGCAGGCATAGGGGCCAGCCATGGCTCCCCTTCCCTGGGGCACAGCCCACCCCTGAGGGCATAGGAGATGGGGCAGCGGGGTCCCCATGGGGCACTTTGATGGGACTTCCTTCCTGGGAGCAGCCCCCCAAAGCTGTGAGGGACAGGGACCACCACTGCTGGCTGTCACCTGGCCGAGGACCCCCTCCCAGGTCCCATCCCACCGGGGTGTGAGTCTTCCTGACCTCTGGCAGCTTCCAAAAATGTTCCTCCAGGGTTGGCAGGGAGCGGGGACAGGGAGGCACCGCCAGGCAGGCGGAGAACAAAAGCCAGGCAGAAAATTGCTGTGGATGAAAAAGCAGCCATGGGGAACGGGGGACAAACCTGGAGCCGGCGAGGGACGGGGAGGGGGCCGTGCTGCGGGTGATGCTGGTGGCAAAAATCTGTCCCCTGTGAGCTGGAGAGAAGAAGAAAGGATGGAAGGAGCAGGGAGTCCGGCCCAAAGGCTCAGAAAATGGCAGGTGGCAAGGACTTGGTCCTGCAGGTCCCCTGCTCGCCCGCTTCCCAGGAGCAGGAGGTTGGGGGCGAAGGATGCTGTGCTTCACCTGCAATGAAACGGGGTGTCGGAGAGGAGCAGACAAAGGGAATGGACCCCCCAGTGTCACTCCAAGAGCTGGCTGAGGATGGACACCACGGCAGACCAACACCGGGGATGTTCCCTGATTTCTCGGCGATGGGATTTTTATGCCAGGTAATTTTGTGAGGGAGGGAAACCCCTCAGCGTGCAGCGTGGGATGGAGGTGGTAGGATGGGGTGGGATTTTGTGGGGTGGGATGGGATTTTTGGGAGCAACCAGGTAAGAGCACTTTTGCACCATTAAATTGTAGGATTATTAGTTGTTTTTTCCGGCTGGGTCTGTCACTTAACGCATGGATACTGCCCCCCTTGGCATCCCTCCTTGTGCCCTCCAGAGATGTTTCCTTTTAGGACGCCAGCTCCTGGGCATGGAGTGAAGATGCTCTGGGGGACACTGGGACCTTCTGGCTGTGATCCTGCAGGGCATGGCTATGGCTGGGGACACTGAGAGGAACAAGCCTTGATCCCAGCACCCTCCCAGATTAAAAAAATAGACTTTTACGTGCTGAACAAGGGTGTAGCAGCAAACGTGTGGGGTGTGCTGACGTCTCGGTGGGGGCTGCTCACAAGGCATGACGACGGCCTGGCCGTCGCTCTGCAAGGTGCTGCCACCAGATAGCGTCCAGCTGGGGCCACCAACATCCTGGCGGGGGAAAAGGGGCAAGGAGGGGACAAAAACATCCTTGCCTGGAGTGGGGTTCGCTTGTGAGGAGGGTTGTCCAGCTGAGCTTGCTCTCTGGAAGTCAGTCACTGCTCCGGGCATCTTCACGGGTCTTGGAGTGGTGCAAAGAAAGCATCGGAGAGGGATATTTTTAGATGTTCTTTGTGCTCAGGGAGCAAAACCACGCTGTGGTTTAAAGGCCATTAGCTGGCTGGGGATGTTTGAAAAACGTCAACAAGAAATTAGGATTTAGGGAGATGTCTGACACGATGGGATGCAGCATTTTTGCAGGGATGATGGCAAATTTCGGGCTGAGCCTGCCGGGGGGATTGCCAGAGCCGGGCAATCTGTCCTGTTTAGTTGCCACGTGGACAACCATCGGGGCCGGGGGGGACGATCCCCCGAGCGGGCGCATTCGCATTGTTCGCGGGGTGACGTCTGCCCTAATGGCTGCGGAGGAGGCCCGGGAAGAGAGTCCACAAGAGGTAACGTGGCGAGACGCTGGGACCGGAGCCGGCCGCGGTACGGGGCGATGGGGGACGGTCCTGTCCTTCCACCCTCTGCTCGGTTTCCCCAGGGCAGAGGACATGATGATGGTGTGTGCAGCAAGCAGGCAGCTGCCTGCACCAGAGCTCTGGCCAGATTGCCCTTGTGTCCTAGCTTGTGCTACCTTGTCTGGTGGGGTTGCACAGGATGGGGGACAGGAGCTGGGACAGGGGTCAGGAGGGGACAGAGGATGCAGAGCCTAACCTCTGGAGATGCCATCAGCCCTTAGCTGACAGCTGTGTTCACACCTCCCCACGTGTTGTGGGGATTAGCCCCACCTGGGGACCATCCCCACTGGCCAGGATGGACACTATCAGCCTGTTCGGGAAGGAGAGCTCAACTGCATGGACTCACTCCTGTCGTTGCTGGCTGGTCTCAGGGCAGAGAAGAGCTGTGGCCTCTCTTTTGGGTCACCTGTGAGGTGCTGCGTGGGACATGGCTTATGGCCTGGCCATAAAAGTGCTAAGAGGGTTCCATAGTGGGACGAGGATGGAGCAGCCTGGAGGGATGCTGAGGCTGGGGGCAGACGATGCCTAGGAGAGTATTGGGAAAAGGGAAGTCATCAGCTGGGATAACCCAGCAGTGGAGGCAGGTGGGAGGCAGTGGTGCACCCTCTTCGACGTGGTTCAACCCATGCAGATGAGCTGCTGTGCTGTCCTCCCTCTCCCCCAGGTTGGGGAAATGTTTTGACACCAGATGCTGTAGGAAAATGGGAATCTTCTGTCAAAGTGGGAAGGGCTGAGCAGCCCAAGCTTGTTTTGCCCAGCACAACTGAAGGTTGGAAGCGGGGGGTAGGGTGTAGCAATGCCATCGGGTGGGTGGGAGCACCTGGGAGGAGAAAGAGTGACTTATTGTGCAGGACAGCATGCATGGGCACGAGGAAAATGGGAATAAGCTCACCATGACTGCATCCCCCAAGGGCTCCTCAGAAACCCAGACCTGTGAGGTCCCCCAATTTAAAGTAAAAAGGGCAGGAAATAAACCACCTTTCAGGTCTTGATCAGCAGAGACTCTCATGATGTTGCATGGCAGGAGCAGTAAATCTTGCTGCCCATGGTCTTCTCTTGCCATAGTTTGTCCATCTTAGGGCCTGTCTCCCTGCCAGAACAGCAGGTTCAGGTAGGTGCCACAGGGCGGGTAGCACCTATGATGCTGTGACCTTCTGAAGTCACAGTGATGGAGAAGGTTCCTGGGCTCCTGAGGGTTGTCTCTTGGTCACTTGGGGAGAGGGACAGAGCAGTTGAAAGCCTAGAGGAGTTGCAGGTTGCCTCACAGCAACACAGAGTGTGGAGGAAAAATCCCCACAAATGAATATTTATATGGATAGACATTTAGTTTGGTAGAGTTGGGGTGGGAGGGGTTTTAGGGGTTGCCTGTGCTTTTCCAAGGTCTGGGTGGAGAGCTGGCACATGAGTGAAGGACTGAGAGGAGCAAGCCTAATTTGCAGGAGCAAAGGAGATTTGGGTGAAGCTTCTCAGAGTGAGGACAATGTGGTGGGGTTGAGGAGGTCACGGGACGTTCACGGCTGGATATTTTAAAAGGTTTAGCTACCCCTTTTCTAAGAAGGAGGGAGAGGCAGTTGGCCTGGGCAGGGTGTTGTGCTGCAGGGTCTCCTGGGGCTTCTTTTCCACCTTCTCCTCACTGCTGTGATGGCAGTGGGGGTGTCTGCACCCCTCTCCCCCCACCCACACCGGTGAGGGACCCGTCCTGCTTTTGCTGAGCCCCACTTCCACCCCTCTTCCTTCCTGTCGCCACAGCTCCTCGCTCTAAAAAATCGCCGAGAGCTTCGGAAAGGAGGGTGCCAGGGGAAATTGGGGTTGGCTGGCATGCGGGTGAGGTTATTCACCCCGGGGCGGGCAGCCGCTTGCCAGCGCCGGCTTCCTTGAGCCGCACTCCTCTTCGCTCCCTGCTGCAGCCGCCGGTGTCTCCCTGAGCTCCTCTCTCCACCTTCATCCGCCGAAACCGCTTCGGAGAGGTTTTTCCGGGGTCGGGACAGGGGGGTTGCTCTCGCCGGCAGACAGCGGCAGGCTGCCGCGGCAGCCAGAAGCAGTTTGCCTCCTTCCCCCCAGCTTGACCAAAAAAAAAAAAAAAAAAAATAGGAAGGAAAGAAGGAAGGAAGGCAGGCAGCCGGGGGGACCGGAGGATGCTCGCCGCGGTCCCCAGCCGCGGGGATGCGGGGTTGCTAGGAGGCAGGTGAAGGTGAAGAGGAGAGTGCTGCGGAGGACCGCAGGCCCAGGTACCGCTGCAGCGGGGACGGGAGGGACGACCCGGGAGGGAGAGACCCTGCCTGTGCCGGCAAGCGGGCGGCCGAGCCCTGAGACCCCGGGAAGGGAGATGGGGAAAACCCTGGGGAAGCCGGGGGTGGAGGGAGGGAGCGAGCTTGGTTCTGCGGGAGGACGATGCGGGAGATGCCGGCTGGCTGGCTCGCCCCTCTGCCAGCCCGGTAGCCACGGCTGCCTGCTTGCCCTGCCGCTGCCGGTGGAGGCCCTCGGCCGTGAGTAGGGAGGGATGCAGGGCTGGCGCGGTGCGGTGAGGATGCTCATCCTCCCGCAAGGGCGAGCAGGGTGATGCTGCCCGCCGCAGAGCCGGGGGAGGCCGGGGGACCTTGGGAAGCTGCCGGGAAGGGATGGGGGAGCACCGCAGCCCGGGGCCAGGCGGGCCTGCGGGGATGCATCTGCCGCCACCGCTGCCCTTGGGATGCTTCTTGCTGGGTGTCTGCGGGGCACAGCGGTGTCCTTGGGCCACCTCCAGCCTGCGCTCTCTTTCACGGCATCCCCTGCCACGCTGGACCTTGCAGGGTGAGAGTAGAACCCTTGGCAGTGCCCCCCAAGCCAGGAGCCTGCTCTTGCCCAAGATGGACAGGAGGAAGAGGAGAAGGACGGGCACGGGGAGCCTGGTAGAGGTGAGCAGCAGGGTCTCTGATCCACCTTCCCCCTTCTTCCAGATCCGCATGTCAGACGAGAGCAGCACCGACAATGGGGAGTCAGACCCCCAGCACAGCCTGTATATGGTCTTCCTCCTCGTCCTTGTCTTCTTCATCATGGGACTGGTGGGTTTCCTTATCTGCCATGTCCTGAAGAAGAAGGGTTACCGGTGCCGGACTTTCCGGGACGAGCTCGACCCAGATAACAAAGATGTGCTGGCAGAGCTTCAGGCCAGTGAGTGCTGGGGTGATGGGGTTTCAGCGGGGGCTCAGGTGCTGCCTTTCGCTGGTGTGGACTGATGCTCCTTAAACATGCTTCTGTGATGTGGGATGGGGGTGGGAATGTTAACCATCACATGGCCCTGGGCTGGAAAAAAGGGGTGGGGTGGCAACAGCAGCACGGTGTTCCCCAGGGAATGGGAGCCTGTGGCCCAGAGAGCCCTCTGATCTGCTGGGTCTGCAGGCTGATGGTGCTGGGGAGGTGAGAACCAGCATCTGGCCCTTCCCAAAGCTGCATGATCACCAAAAGATAATTCCGATGAACAGCCAGGACCTGGTGAATCCCTGGCGCTTGAATTATAACCCATGTGCCCTACAAGAAAAGCATCCCTAGCCAGGGCACGAGCTGTCCCTCTGCCTTCCTTTGGCATTAGGAGGTCCAGCATGGTGCCAGCATGGTGTTTGCCATCAGTCCTGTGCTCTTGTAGTACTTGTTGTGTTCACACAGGCCAAAGGAACAGGGGTGTTTCCTTGGGATCCCTGCCCCACATTGGCAGGGGACCACTGGGGATTTTTCCATCACTTCAGGCCATTGTAAGCGTCTCTTGGGTAGTAGGGTTGGGAAGCCAGTGCAGCATTGAGCGTGGGTGCAAACCAGAGCACAATCCAAGCAAGCTCGGTCGTTTAGAGTTCTCATGAGTCTCTGCTGAAATGGAGAAGACACAGTCCTCTGGCTGCATCCTTGCCAAATGGTGCTACGTAACTCCTCTGGCTCCACTGTGCCACCATCAGCGTTCAGAAGGGTCAGCACCTCCCGCTGCCACTTCTTGTGCATGGGAGGGGAACGTGGCTCCCTCAGCTTGCCCGCAGATGCAGCAGGAGCTTCCAGGAATCCTTAGTTATTCTTCTCTGACTTCAATAACTTGGCTGCACATGTCATGAAGACAATGTCTGAACCTTCCAGGATTGGCTTTGCCCGCTGGAGTTGCCACAGCCCAGGGAAACATCTCTGTGGGCTTCCAGGAGTGTGGCAGCCCCTGACCATGCTTTTTGAGGCAGCTGCCAGACCACCAGACCACAACTCTGACCTGTTCACAGGACCATATAACACTGCAGACTGGGCTGAAGATCCAGCCAGCCAAGGCTCCTGCCTCTGATGGTGGCCAGAGGCAGGTTGAGGTGAATGCTAGGGATGAATACCACAACAGGCCAGAAACCGAGCCAAGTTTCCCGGGCAAACTCTTTTAAGCTTCTAACAGTGTGTAGCTCCAGGGCTTTCTCCATCAGAGATGGTTTCTACGTATTTAATAGGCCCCAGCGGGTATCTTTTCTGTGAACTTTTAGCACTCGCAGCATCCTGCACCCAGGGCCTCCAGGGCTGGACTATCCCCATCAGGAGCTTATTTCAACTTGTTTTGAAACTTTTTTGAACCTTCTTCTCACTTGTTTCACATGATGCTCCCCAGTCCTGAAGGAGCAACCCAACACCCTCCTCCCTGCACACGTTTCTTTTCCAGGGCAAGGGATCTGCTGTTCCCCAGGTGCTTCCCCGGGAGATGGGGGACACAAAGCTTCTCTGACCCCTCCATCGACGTGGCTGCTCCTGGAGAGGGACTGGCGAGCTGTCCGAATCCCAGCCCTCAGTGCCACGTTTTCTCCTTTCAGATGAAGAGGAGGAGCTGAACGAGGACACTGTGGAGAAGATTGTGAGATGCATCATCCAAAATGAAGGTAAGCATTTCCTAGGGCTGGCCCAAAGACCTGCTGGCCACTTTGGCTGACTCATTCCCTTTTTCCTCTCTTTTCAGCGAATGCAGAGGCCCTCAAAGAGATGCTGGGGGACAATGAAGGGGACATCCCAGTGGCAGTGCCCAGGTGAGAGAAGCCTATACCAACTAGTGGCTCTTGCAGAGTAAGGGAGAAGCACCCTTTGGGTGTCACCTTGCTCTGCAGACTCAGCAGCCAACCCCTTTCCAGCTTGATATAAAGCACGTTCCCAACAAGAAGTCCCGCTCTCCCTGGAGTTATGATGACTGTCACCCTACTATCAAGGGCAATAGCCCTTCCCCATTCCTGTCTCCACAGGAGGTCCCTTCCAGAGCTGCTGCTTCTCAGGGCTTACTGTAGTGAGGTTGCACCAAGTCTGGGAAGTCTTCCCCAGATAACATGATCTGTCATGTCTTTTTCCTATTGCAGCCTTTGTCCTCACCGTAACAGCCAGGATGGGGGCCCACCACATCACCACACGGTACATCTGGGCTCCACGCAGGCCCCCTGCATCCACTGCAGCAGGAGGAAGAGGCACCCACTGCATCGGCAAGGACGGTCCAAGGAAGGCAAAGGCAGGATGCATCCTGGAGAGACCACAGTCTTCTCAGTGGGCAGGTACTTAAATGAGCTTTTCCAGACATGGTCCATCTGCTCTGGTGGCCTCTTGCTCTTTCCCATTTAGGTGCCCCAGTAGTAGCTCTGCAGCAGGAATTCCCAAGGAACCAGGTGCCTCCTGCACCTGGAAATGCCTGTGGTATGTGGCAGGCTGTGACGTACTAGTGGCTTCCCTCCTCCTCTCTGGGAAGGTGACTCAAGCCTGTCCTGTCTTGCTGACTCAGTGCTGGGCAGAGCCCCAAATCCATGTTCTTTCAAAGCCTACATGCGAGCAGGGCTCTTGCTGCCCAACGGGGGCATTGACTCCAGTTTTAGGGATCTCATTAGGAAGGGGAGGAGGTGACAGCAGATCCCAGGAGCAAGTTACCAGCCACCACCTTCAGAACGAAATAGTGGCTCTGCTCCTCCAGATTGTTGCCTCCAATGATGACCGTAATTAGATGCCATGGGAGGAATACAAGAATAGGGCAGTGTACCCAATACTTCCCACAAATACTCTTCCAGTTGCCCAACTGGTCTCACCTCAAGGGACTTCCTGAGCTGCCTGTGGCCTCTGTGTAGTCAGTAACCCTTAGTGCAATCTGAAGGCTTACCCAGGTTGCCTCATTCCCCAGCAGAAAATGCGTGCACAAGACCTTTAGCAAGGTCCTTCAGGGCTCAGCTCCATACCACCAGTGGTGACCAGGGCAGGGTGCCTAGTGATATGGTTTCATGACATTTATTGTCAGTGTTAGGCTGATGGTTGGACTAGATGACCTGAAATGTCTCTCAGTGTTAGGTTGATGGTTGGATTAGATGACCTGAAATGTCATTTCCAACCTCAGCAATTGTATGATTCTATGACTCTCTAAGCAACTGCTGCTCCCTGGATGGCCACCTTGGCGAGACACAAAGCTCTGCTGTGCTCAGATCCTGCAGCAGGTCTTCATTCAGGGTCTACGTTTTGATGAAGCTCCATGCTATGGTCCAGACACACAGTCCTTTCATGGTGATGTTGAGCCAGAGCGGGCATCGGGGAGGGGGGTGGTTTTTTTTCATCATCACAACCAGAGTTTCAGCAGGAAGGTGAACTGGGGGCTGGATGGGGAGATGGTAGAGGGGACATGCTGGACCTCCCCATGCTGAAGTCCAGCTAAGATCACATCTCCTGGAGACTGACTCCTTCTGGCTTCCTCTCTGCCCGTTGCTGTCAGCTCTCCTTGGTTTAAGGGGTGGTGTTTGGTAAACCAGATCCCTGCCTATTCATGCCCAATCTCATTCCCTGGATGGTACCCAGCTCCATCCACTTCTCTGTGTCCTTTGTCCATGCTCTTCTCAGTCCCCTCTCACCTGGAGAATGTGGTCTATTTTCCTAAAGGCACTTACCCTCAAATCTTGGTTTCTTCTCTTTGTGCTTAATATCCCATGTCACGGCAGCCTTCTCCATGGGACCATCATTACATTTCTCCAAGGTTATATTTTGAAAGTTTCTGCTTCCTGAATCTCCTTGGTGCGAGGCCCAACTGCTAAGGGGCCTACGTGCCCATGAGGTACAAAACAACCTCCAATTTCTAGTTCTCATTTCCAAACTGGCCCCTTTGCTCTTTCAGATCCTGGATGACTTTTCTGGGACTGCCTTTGTTGTGTGTTCTTTACTGTGAATATCCTCATTGCACGAAGTACCTTGATTCATGATTGATCCTACATCGAAAAGCTTCTTTAACTCAGCTCTTCTGTTTCAGATCCTCAGGTCTTGTTCCTCTCTTTTTTTGGGGGTGGGGAGTAGGGGGCTAATGCTTTTATTTTGGACACAGTGGTTGAAAGTCCATCCCCTTTCCCTATTACCTACAGCTCATTGATTAAGTCTAGTCCCCAGTTGGTAGGCCCAGGCCCATTGCTGAAGGAGTGGAAAGGAGTGAGATCAGTGGAGGCTCATCAAGATCATCAGGGGCTGAGACACGTGGCATGTGAGGGAATGACGTTTATTTAGCCTGGAGAAGTCTAAGGAGGGGGATCTAATTGTTCTCTAAAACTACTCAAAGGGTTTGGGGGGTTTAGTTTAAATGAAGATGGAGCTGGACTCTTCTCAGAGGTGCCCAGGGAATGACAAGAAGCAGTGGCCACAAGTTGCAACAAGAGAAATCCAGATAACACTTAGGGAAAAAACTATCACCCTGAGAATTGTGCAGCCCCGGGACAGGACACAGAGGAGTGGAGGCATCGCCATCCTTGGAGATTTACAAAGCATGACTGGACAGGGTCCTGTGCAACCTGATTGAGAGTGGGAGGTGGCCCAGCTTGCAGCAGAAGGTTGGACGGGATACCTCCCAAGGACTTCTCCTACATAAATCACTCCACAATTCAGAGATAATCAGGGTTATGTGATCTATACTTTCATATTATTGCATGATTTACCATCTATCTTAGGGCTTTCCTCAAACCAGGTGTCAGTGGCAGAGCTCACCCATCGAAGCATCTGCGTCTGACCCTCTGTCCTTGGCCCAATCAGCCGCAGTGTGTCACATCCTATGAATCAAATGCCTCAGCGGTGCTGACCAGGCAGTCGGCCAAAGCTCTCCTGCCTTTCCCCTCATCATCCAGAGGCTGGTTACGTTCCCTCTTGTGCCCCCTCCAGTCCGAACCCTGCTGGCTCCGTTGAATCTGTTCCCAGCTCTTCCAGCTTGACATTGCTCAATGGCATTAGCAAGAAAAGATCCTGCCACTTGTGCCTCCTCCCCATCCCTCTTTGAGACTGGAACATTCTTTGGTCTTCCTGAACCACAGCGCTGGTGTCTTGTCTCCAAATATCTGGATAGACCTGAAAGGGCACATTTGCTGCTGTTTGGCCTGAGCAGTTCTGTGGGTACATTGTCCAGAGCTGGAGCATTTCTCCTCTTGACCTTTCTGATCATGAGCAACATTTCTGACTGTAGTGCTGAGGAGTCTGTACTGTCCAGACTACGACCTGGTCCTCAGTCTGGTAGTGGTCTCCTTCATCTCTAGCATCTCATCTGGCATCTGTTCTTATTCCTCGGACCTTTCTTCTCAGCTTCTTCCTTCAGAATGGCCATACCGCCATGTACTTGACCTTTGGGTCTTGCTCTTCTTTCAACCCCAGCAGTGCTTGAACTTTGCTGCTGAAATTCTATTCCGACCTGATGCTGACTTGCAGCTCAACCTCTGCAGAGCCAGGGCCATCTGCAGCTTCTCTGCGTGTGACTCAAGTGCAAGGAGAGCTGTTGCTGGGTGAGTCATGGACTCTGTGGTGGGATCAGCATTCTTTGGCTGGTGGACACCAGCTCACGATGGAAGAGATTTCCTATCTGCTGGTCCAGCAGTGGCTTGCATTGCTTATGAAGAGGAGTCACAGCATTAGTCACAATCGGGTTGCCTGCAATTCAGGCTTTGCCTACACATTACCCTTCACGAATCCCGAGGTTATGGTAGATCCCTAACTTCTCTCTTCTTCCCAGGTGCAATATTGCACCACTCTTATTATAAATACATCTTTTGTAGGTGTCAGACCAACTTCTCCAGCTGTTCTCCTGCCTACCCTGGAGCTCTGAGCTGTTACCTGGTACACAGGGGAACCTTGGTGAACCATCTAGGTACCATCCATTGCTCCAGGGGAAGGTGCACAGTGTGCTCTGGCAGATATTAACCAAACTGCTCCTCCTGCCTTGGGTCCCTGGTCCCAAATACAGGTCACTCTGCCAAAACCCTGTCCCTGCTCTCACTTAGGGTGCACTCTCTGCTGAAGGTGCTGGTTCTTGTTCCCCTGATGGCAGTCAGTCACTGGGCACAATGTCCATGCAGCTCGGCTTGGCTATCCCTTCCTCACCAGGCTCAGCCAGTTTGTGGTTCACCTTCTGAATCAACACCTGAGTCCCTGTACAAGCCCCTGTTCATCCAGGTTGTGTATCGGAGCATTTCCAAGAGCTGCAACCAATCTTGCTGCAAGGAGGACAGGCTGGTGGGGTCAGCACCAGCCAACACCTAGATCGACCTTTTCATCCTTCTCTTCCTATTTGCTTTGCCAAAAATGAAAGGGAAAATGGAGTTAAGTCAGTGAGGGCATGGCTAGAGTGGAGGTCAGTAGTGTTGAATGGGTCTGAAAGGTTGGAGATAGCACCAATCATAGAACAGTTTGGGTTGGAAGAGAGCTTAAAGATCATCTTGTTCCAGCCCCCCTGCCCTGGGCAGGGACACTTCACACTACACCAGGTTGCTCAAAGCCCCATCCAGCCTGGTCATCATCATCCAGTCGATGACAAAGAGAAGATTTGAGGCTGGGGGTGAAGACAAGCTGGAAATAATACATCCAGGGGAGGGGAGAGAAAGGATTTGATGCTTCCTGACCTCCTTTCCAGGTTTCGTGTCACACACATCGGGAAGAAGCCCACCTTCCACGAGCAGCAGGATGGTCCCCTGCCTGACGGCAGCCGAGAGCTGAGCACAGAGGAGCTGGAGCACAGCAGCGACCGCCTCCAACGGGAGCGGGCTCGCAACGGGACTGTCCCCACAGGTGGCCTGCAGAATGGAGCCGTCCAGAAAGGTGCCCAGAGCAACAAAGGTGGGGAGCAGAGCCGCACCACCACCCCGGCCCCAAATACACCGATCAGCTCTGGCACTCGTGGCAGCAGGCATTCAGGCAAGGGGTCCGGAGTGACAGGATCACTGCAGGATGCTGGCACTGGTCCTCCTGGGAGCACAAGCCGCCAGAGGAAGCTCCTAAGCCATCGGGTGCTGGGTGGGTCAAGTCCCAGCATCCCAGGAGAGCTGATGCAGGAAGGAGGCAGCATCTGCCTGGAGGAGACCGGACTGGGGTCAGCAGACGAAGTGTCGGATATTCACGGGAGCCTGAGTCTGCACGAACAGGTTGATGAGTTGGGGAGAGACGACAGCAGCAGAAGACAGCCTGGGGTGGAGGACAAAGGCCAGCAGGTAAGTTCCTCCTCTTCCTTGTCCCCAGGGTGGTCTCCTGGCCTGGAGGGCTTGGAGGGTTGTGGCACAGCACCCTGAGACCTGCTGCCGACAAAATGTACCAGCTCAAGCACGGTGGCGTGGGCTGTGCAGTGGGTACAGGCGAGACAAGGTTGACTGCGGCGTGGTGACCTGCCCTGTCCTGCCCACCTTGCTTCTGCTCACCTTTTTGGATTGCATTTTCCCATCTCTTTTCTAACATCTGGGCACGTAGAGCCACTGTGACAGTTCCCCCCTGTGGGGGAAAAGGCAGGTCACTGCTTGAACCTGCTGCCAGCTGCCACTTGGGCAACAGATGACTCCTCCTTAGTGGTTGGGCTCTTTGGGGACATCCATTGGGATCACTTTTGCTTGACCTGGGTGAGCTCTGCTGCTGCCTGTAGCTTGGTCTCTCCAAAACTGTGCCCTCACTGCAGTGGTGGGGCTCAACATGGCTGGCAACGTACAGGCTGGGGCAGATGTCTCCAGGAGCTCCTCTTGCCTTGAAGTCTAGGACATGGTGAAGCCAACCGGTCACTTCTTGGCTGTTCTCCCCCACTCCAGAGGGGGTGGCTGTGCTCAGAGAGGAGGGCAGCCCACCCTGGCTGGAGCTCCCAGCACCCTGGTATCTCCCAGCCTTCCCATCCAACCACCTTGGTGGAGGTGCTGGAGACCTCCAAAGCAGCACTGGTGAGGACACCATTTGCTTGGCCATCGATGGCCCCTGATTTGGGGGATTTGCTCCCTGCCACTGCCTCCATGCTCTTCCCACTGAGCAAATGATGCTGTTGGTGGTAGACACCCAACATGGCCACTCACTCACACGTTCACCCATGGTTCTGCAGTTGGGGAAAGATAATTTTCGTGGCAGGGGGCTGCGGAAGGCACCTGGTGCAATGTCACCCCACCGGGGCTGCCTCCATCGAGCAGCCCCGAGAGGTGGCCTCAGCTCACCCCACAAAACCAGCACCAGGGCACAAGTGGCAAAGTCTTTGGAAGGAAAAAGGAAGCAAACCCCCATGTAAAAACCCTGGCATGCTTCAAAACCAGGGACATTCCCTGGGGCTGGCTCTGCTGGAGCTCCATGGGCCACCCATGGCATGTCCCAGCAGCCCTTGGCAGAGACATGGGATGGGGAAGGACTCATTCAGCATGGGAGAGCCTGGGGAAAGGTGCCCGGCTGAATATACGCTACAGAAAAAGCAGGAACCTGCTGTGTTTATTGTTTACCTCTTTGCTTTCTGGTGGCCGGGCTGGAGGTTTTTAGCCTCTTCGTGGAGAAGGGAAGCCCATGGAGGCCATGAAGTACAGAACAATGAGCTGTAGCCCTTCTCCAGAGACTTGGAGAGGTGGTGACAGGTTCTCCTTCCTCCCATGACCCACCACGCCTTGGGCGATGGCTGTGGTCCCTCTGATCACTGGGGGAGCAGTAACCCACAGGGCGAGCCCAGGGGCATGGTGATTTTTCTTATCTTTGACTGTCCTCTCTGTGGTGCCCAGCTCTTGCCTGAGACCCAGCACGAGGCATTGGTGTGCTCCACAACATGGGGTCCCAGGACAACGGTGATGGGACCTCACTGGGATGTTTGTCAGCAAGCCCTGGCACCACTTGGACTCTCCCTCATCCCCTGTGTCCCAGATGGGGCCACCACCTGCTGCTCCACATGTCCACATGAAGGGCAGAGAGATGGGGCTTGGGCTGTAGTCACCTCCTGGAGCCTCAGCAGGGTTCTGCCTGCTGGCCCATGGGTCACTGCTATGGCCAATGGAGACCTGACCCCCCACCCCAGCCTCAGGCTCCTGCAAGACCGCTGACATTCACATCCCTCCTCCATCCCACAGGAGCCCAGCACAGTGACACAGGACCGAGGAGCAACTGTGTGACGTGAGTGCTTGTCCCCAGCCCCTAGGGCCATGTCTGGGGTGGGGGGTAGAAGACGCTGGTGGTATTCCTGCCCTAGTGGGTCACAGCCTGGAGGTGGAGAGAGGGAGAACCTCTTCTCCAAGAAGGTCAGTTCCCAACACATCAGGTCCCGCACAGGCAGGTCCTCTTGCCCACATGCAAGTGGGAAGTCATAGAATCATAGAATCATAGAATGGTTTGGGTTGGAAGGGACCTTAAAGATCATCTAGTTCCAACCCCCCTGCCATGGGCAGGGACACCTCCCACTAGACCAGGTTGCTCAAGGCCCCATCCAGCCTGGCCTTGAACACCTCCAGGGATGGGGCATCCACGACCTCCCTGGGCAACCTGTTCTAGTGCCTCACCACCCCCACTTTGAATAATTTCTTCCTAGTATCTAACCTAGATCTCCCCTCCACCAGCTTAAAACCATTGCCCCTTGTCCTGTCGCTACTCTTCTTTGTAAAGAGTCCCTCTCCGGCTCTTCTGTAGGCTCCTTTCAGGTACTGAAAGGCCGTTATAAGGTCTCCCCGGAGCCTTCTCTTCTCCAGGCTGAACAACCCCAGCTCTCTCAGCCTGTCTCCATAGGAGAGGTGCTCCATCCCTCTGATCATCCTCGTCATTGGGCAACCATTCCAGCTCCAGGCAGACAGGGGTTTTTGGCTGGTGGGGGGATGCCCCGCAGCTGTGGGGACGAGCTCCATCCTGCCCTTTCCTCCCTGCAGCTCCTCTCCGCTCCTGGCTGGAGCGTGGACGTGGAGATGCGTGGCCCCCCCCCGGCTCCCTATGCTGGGCTGGGGGCTCTGCTGTGGGGGGGACCTGTGGGGCAGCCGGCCCCGGGCGAGCAGCTACGCGCTTGGCATGGCCGGAGCGACGCGCCGACGTTACAGACAACCACGCTCGGCGCCAGACCTCATCCCATTGGCAATAGGTACCTGACCCCCACCCACCGCACCCGCCCTGGAGACCCCCCCACCCTGAGGGCACTGGGGGAAGGATGCATCAGCGGGGCAGGGATGGAGGCAGCGGATCAAGTGTCCCCCCCCAGCCCCCCGGGGTGGGGGGCAGCACCCCCCAACCCAGCCGGCACGTTCACCGCAGAGCACAGCCCCCCCTGCAGAATGGTCACAGGCACAAATCCTGCACCAGCGACGGACCCTGCGGGTCCCCAAGGAGATGCTGGCGGAGAGAGGAACCTCCAGCCCCGGCCTGTCGTGGGAGGGGACGGAGCCTGGTCCTTGGGGGGGCAGGATGACACCCCCCAGCCGGGCCAGTGGGCAACCCCGGTCGGTGCCCATGGCCAGCTTTGGTGTGTAACCGCACTGTACATAGACAAGCTAAAAACCATTAAAGCTGCTGAACCCCTGGGCAGAGTCAACTGGCTTTATTGGGGCACAGCCCCCCATCTGCCTGTTGGAAGATGCTGGGGATCTGGGGGAAGGAGGGCCCTGGAGCTGAGCCCCCCCAAGGAACCAGGGCTGCACTGGGAGGGGGCAGAAGAGGCAGAGAAAAGAGCTGGGACCCGGCTGTGGCACTGGACACCCCCATAAAGGGGCTACTGGGGTGCCCCATGCTGTGTAGGGATGCAGGACCACCCCTCAGGGCTGGATGTGGCCCCCCCCTGCCCCCGCAAAACCAGCTCGGGGCACTGGGCATGGCCAGCCCTGCCACAGGGACAGTAGCCCAGGGTGGCTCGCTCTGGCCAAGCTTTTTAGGGAGCAGGGAGGGACATGGGGGACCCACATGGTCAGCTGAAGTGGAGGTCGGGGTCAGGCTCGGGGGCTCTGCCGGGTGGCGGGGGGGGCGCACGGAGCTGCGGAGAGAAAAGAGGAGATGCTGCACCCACAGGCCGAGGCTGCTCGCCCCCCTCCAGGCCCTCCCCAAAGCCCAGGGGTGGCACCGTGCCATCAACCCCTGTTATAGGGGGGGACTTGGGGGCAGGTTTAGGTGGGGGGCACAACATCGCTGCAATGGGGCTTACCGGCCGGAGGCGAGTGGCTGCCAGGTCTGGAGAGCTCTGCCCACTGCCCGCGCCATCCTGCCGGCAACCTGGAAGGGCTCGGGTGGTTCAGCCCAGCTCTTTGCATGCCCCCTTCCCCCAGCTTCTTTCCCAGTTCCCCCCCTCACCCCCCAAAAGCCCGGCACCCACCTCCTAGCGGCGTTTCGGGAGAGGGGCTGGGGGCCAGGCTGACCCCGGGCACAAGGCCAGGAGGGGAGAAGGGTGGTGGGGACGGTGATGGCAGCTCCTGCAAAGACAGAGCCAAGAAGGGTGGGAAGTGCCCAAGGAGGGTGCCACCCCATGTCACAAGATGGGGGGCTGCCCCACACTGAGGGTATGTGGTGACCCCCTCCTGCCACCCACCTGCTCGGCTGCCTCCCGGCCCCCCGTCAGCTCCTCCACCACCAGGGAGGGGAAGACGCCAACGCGGCCATCGAAGTCTCCTGTCCAGAAGCCATCGTCCACTTCGCCGGGGGCGCGGGGCAGCACCCGGATGATGGCCCCCTCGGGGAAGCTCAGCTCCTCAGGGCTCTGTCCCTCGTAGTCGTACAGGGCTCGCACTAGCCAGGCTGTGGGGAGCATGGGGCAGAGGGCTCAGCATCCCCCAGGCACCAGCCCGGCACATCTGTCCCCCTCCCTAGGGGAGGTGACACCCCGGCACCCACCTCCGGGCTCCAGCACCAGCTCCGCAGCCATGATGCTGGAGAGCTGGCGGTGCAGGGCAGAGGGTCCTGGGGGGCCAGCCCCGGCCCCCTGCTCGCCCCCCAGGGACAGTAGGTACTTCTCGGGGACGTAGCCGACCTGGCCCGCCTTGTTCCGAGCCTGAAGGGACAGAAAACACAAGATTGTCCCAGCCCTCGGGGGCAGAGACAGTCCTGGGGACCTGTGTGTCCCCCAATATGGGGCGGGGGGCTCAGCCTGCTCCCACCTTCACCCACTCCTCCGCATCACCGTCCTCGATGACCTCCAGCTCCTCACCCTGGGCGATGGAGAGCTCGTCCGCCCGGCAGCCCTGCGGGGGACAAGGGGACAAGGTGACAGGGAAGCCCTGGGTACCCCTGGACAGGGGTGCTGGCCCTGGGCAAGCAGGGCGAGGGACAGGCAGCCATGGCCCTACCTGGTACCCAAAGATGACCCGGCAGGTGTAGGGGTAGGTGCGGGCAGTGGGGCCAGGCTCGTTGTCCTCATCTGGCTCGTCACTGTCCTCGTAGTCATCGAACTCAGCCGGATCCAGTCCTGTGGGGGTCTCCTCACCCGCCCCCACCATGGCCCCTGCCAGCCACGTGTCCACGTCCAGCCCCGCTGCCCGCAGCAGGGCCAGCCGTGCCTCTGCCTTCACCCGGCTGACCTGGGACACACACACACATCGTCATGGTCTACAGGGCACACTTATGGGGTGAGGGGACAGCCCAGAAAGCCCTGTTGCCCCTGGTCCCCAACGTAGTTGCCACAGTGGCAAAGCATCCCCTTGGCCACATCCCCAGCCATCCCACCTCCCCATCCCTGGTGTCCCCCTCCCCTTGGGGGGCGGTGACAGACCTCGAGGCCACCCCAAGCCTCCCACCTGGGGCGGTACCCACCTCCGCCTTCCGGATGTTCTCCCTGGCTTCTTCCATCCGCCGCTCCAAGGCGGCCACCTCCACCTCTGGGACCTGCTGCCTCCTGGCCTCCAGCCACCGCAGCACCTGGGTGGGCACCCGCAGGTCAGTGGGGTGGTGGGAGCCGTTGTGGGGAGCATGGAAAGCCCCTCCTGTCCCCATCCCGTGCTCCAAGGGGAATGGCAGCACCTACCTCTTCTCCGTGTGCCTTGTTTTTGTGGTCCCGGGCCACCCGGGTGGCCCAGCGCCGTGCTTCCTTCTCCAGGCTGGCCCCATCATCTCCTGGAGGCAGAAGGGACACCTAGGCAAGGACAAGGTGGCTGAGAAGGGGGTGGCTGTGGGGATCCCCCCTCCGTAACATCCCACCACCACCACCTACCTCCTCCACCCCAGCAAGCTGGAAGTGCTGCTCGGGGGCCAGGGAGAAGGCAGGGTGGTCCTGCAGGAAGAGCAGGAGGTCCTGCTCCCGGCAGACCTGTAGGAGGGGAGGGATGTGAGGCTGGGGGTGGGCGGGGAGGACTCATCTGTACCCTCCTGTCCCCCCCAGCTCTCAGGACGGGTGCCATTACCCGCATGGACGCCTCTGCAACGCCCTGGAACCAGTCCCGGGTGGCCCGGCAGGTCTCCACCTCTGTCCTACTGGCCATCGACAAGTGCTCCCGCAGCCGCTCGTAGAGGTCACCGTCCAGTGCCTGGGGAGAAACGGGTGGGACAACGGGTGGGAACCTCTCCCCCAGCTCTGCCTGCATCCCTGACCCCCCAGGGTACCAGCCTTGTTCCTCCGCTGGTGCAACCTGCCTTCCTGCACGCCCCGGCAGCGTCACCAGGGAGATGCCTCCTGTGGTGGAGACACGAGGGGGTCCCAGTCCTACCTGGATGGCAGCAGGCAGCTCCACCCGCTGGTAATGCTCCAGGTGGGCAGTGGCGGACACCAGGGCGAAGCCGTACTCGTTCTGCACCCCAGCGAGCTGCCTCGAGTGCTCAGCCAGCCGTGCTGAGAACTAGGGGGGGATGGCGGGGCTTGGCGATGGGGTGGTGGCCACCACCGCATGTCCCCCTGCATCCTTGTGCTGGGGGACCCTGCCTCCCTCCGCCCCCCGACGCTGCTGACCTTGGCACTGAGTTTTTGCAGGCTGGCCTTGGTGTGAAATATCCTCCGGTCGCTCTTCCGGAGCCTTTGGGGAGGTTGGGGAGTGAGGTGAGACCACCCTGTGACCACGACAGTGTGTGTCCCCCCACCTCCCCAGCACTCACCGAGCCTCCACGTCGGCCGCCTTGTCCTTGGCCACCTCGCTGCTCCGCTGGAGGTGGGTGAACTGCTTCTTTGCCTTGTCCAGCTCCTTCACCGTCTCCAGCAACTCCGCCTGCGCCTTCTGCAGCCGCTCGATGCCCTGTGGGGACCGTCATCCATGGGGTGACAGCTGTCCCCGCCACCCCAGGCACAGGGGACATGTCCTTGTCCCCCCCAGTACCTTCTTGAGCATCCTCTCCTTGGAGAGCCGGGCGGTCCGGGCGGCCTCCGCAGCGAGGGCACGGTAGGTCTCCGAGGCGGTGACACGAACCTGCCCCGCGTGCGCGGTCCCCTCGATGACACCCTTCCAGACCGCGACTGCGCTCCTGGGGGGGAGTTAAAAGACAGGGCAGAGTGCTCTCTTGCCTCCCTTTCAGCTTTTGGGGACGCTGGTAGGACAGCCAGCATCCCCCAGCCCCTGCTGTCCCCTCCCAGGGTACCACCACATCCTTGGGGACATCCCACCCCAGGCTGCATCTCCAGGACACCCAAATCCTGCCTAGAATTAGGCATCTCCCAGCTGGGGGGCCATGGATGGGTGCAGCCAGCCCTCCATCCCCACCCCTGTCCCCAGCCCACCTCGAGTCACAGGTGTCTCCACGGCCCCGCTGCCAGTCTCTCTTCACAAACTGGCTCGCCAGCCTCTGCAGCGCCTGCGGACAGACCCCCCCCTCCATCACTGGTGCTCCCCAATCCTGCCGGGCACCCCAGCACCTGCCATCCCACTCTGGGGATAAAACTGGGCTCCCCCACCCCGGCTCCCAACCCCACAGATGTCCCCAGAGCAGGGGACACACACACACACCACAGTGGCTTGGTGTCAGAAGGGACCCCATCATGCTCCCCACGCAAAAACCTTCTTGGGGACCAGCCAGCACCACGAGAAGACCCCTCCCCACTGCACGTTTTGGGACAGAGGACCAGCAAGGGGACAGCAGCGAGGGACACCACCTGTGGGAGCAGAGTAGAAGAGCCCCCAGCAAAGCCAAGCACAGCAAGACCCCAACCCTGGGGGGACAGTCCCCTCCCCAGCTTGGGGGGGGCAAAAAAGAGCAGGGTGGCACGGTGCCTGACTGCAGGATGGGGGGACACCTCTCTGCTGCAGGGTGTCCCCAGGGGATGCTGTGGGGCTGTCTCACGGAGCCAAACCAGGCTCTGACATTTAAGAGCAGAGCTCTGCCATGACCCAGCAGACAGCGGAGCTCCGCCGTTTCCTGTCCTCCAGCAAGATTTTCCCTCTGGGCACCTGAGGTTTGGGCCACGCTGTCCTCAGCAAAGCCCCGCAGCGGGTCACCTAAGGCGGATGGTCCCCCCTGGCTGAGGGACAATGCTGAGCCCACCCACCACTGCCCGCTGTGCCCCACACGGAGCAGTCAAGATCCACTTTGCTCGGAGAATTTCCAACACTGCCCATGCCCCTTTTCGGGCCATGCCCTGCTCCAGAACACCCCGTGAGGGAAGGATGGGGCTCGGTGCTCGTGGCCACCAGCCATCGGCTCCTGACTTCCCAGGCCATTGGTCCTGAAACCAGTGGCACCTCCTTACCTGCCCATACTCCCGGTCGATGGCGGCCCTCTGCTTGCTGTAGGACCTGTGGGGAGAGGGGATGCAGGCCAGGCACGGACCCACGCAGGGATACAGGGATGGGCCACCCCTGCCGTCACCCCACAGCCACCACCCCGCACAGGGATGTCGCCATCTGGCCACCCCGGTGGGGTGATGGAGTCCACGACCTCCACGCGGCAGTCTCAAGGTGAGGTATGCCTGGCAGGCTGGCCCCGGCCCCACGCGTGGGATGAGCTGGCCGGTCTCAGCTCCCGGTGGGGGAGGACACACGACACGGGGGGACACGACACGGGGGGACCCTACCTGATGTCCTCCAGCAGCTCGGTGTCCCGCTGCTGCTTGCTCTGCAGGCCCGAGAGCTGCTCGAGGAGGTGGACCCGCACCTCCTGGGTGAGCTTCACCTGCGGGACGGCACCACCGCTCAGCTCCCGGGGACCGGCTGCCGACCCCGGCCGGGCCGGGATGCGGGGGGTGCCCGCTGCCCCCGGTACCGGTCCCCGTTGCCCCCCCCACCTCCCCGTGTGCCACTGCAGGTACCGGTGGCCACCGCCCCGCCGCGGCCACGCTTCCCCATCCCACTCCAGGTCCCCCGGGGGCGACTCCCGCTGCAGGACCTCCGCCGGCACCGACGGAGGACCCCGGCCCCGAGACCCCGGCCCGGTGCCTCCTGGTCCCTGCGCTCACCTTGCGCGGCGGCGGCTGCATCGCTGCGCTCCCCCCGGCACCGCTCCCGGTCGCCGGTCCCCGGTCGCCGGTCCCCGATCGCCGGTCCCCGATCCCCGGTCGCCACCGCCGCCGGCGTGTGCGGAGCCCGGAACTGCCGGGCCCGGCCCGGCCCCGCCCACTCCAGGGACACGCCCACCCTTCCATAAGCCACGCCTCCTCAAAAGCCACGCCCCGTTTCGTAGGCCAGCCCCGCCCACCGCCGCGCCCCCCCGCGCGCCCCCTGGTGGTCAGTTCGGCAATTGCCGCTGGAGCGCGGGGAGGGCGCGAAAGAGGGGGGACACGAAGGAACAGGGACATGGGGACACGAAGGAATAGGGACATGGGGACACGAGGACATGGGGAGATGGGGACACGGGGACATGAGGAGTTGGGGACAAAACATACGGTCAGGAGGGACACAGGGACAGGGGGAGGCAGGGAGATGGGGGACACAGGGATACATGGACAGGAGGGACACGGGGACAAGGGGACACGGGGGTATGGGGAAACGGGGACACAGGGACATGGGGAGATGGGGACACGGGGACACAGGGACATATGGTCAGGGGGACACGGGGACAAGGGGACATGGGGGTATGGGGAAATGGGGACACAGGGACATATGGTCAGGGGGACACGGGGACATGGGGAGATGGGGACACGGGGACACAGGGACATGGGGATATTGGGACACGGGGACATAGGGAGATGAGGAGTTGGGGGCACAAAAACATACAGTCAGGAGGGACACAGGGACAAGGGGAGGCAGGGAGATGGGGGACACAGGGATACATGGACAGGAGGGACACGGGGACATGGGGGTATGGAGAAACGGGGACACAGGGACATACAGTCAGGGGGACATGGGGACATGGGGATATTGGGACACGGGGAGATGGGGACACAGTGAGATGGGCACATGGGGACATAGGAATATGGGGGCATAGGGACAGGGGGACGCAGGGGACACGGGGAGATGGAGACATGGGGGCATGGGGAGACAAAGACATGGGGAAATGGGGACACAGGGGGATGGGAAGACAGGACAGGGACAGGGGGATAAGGGGGACACGGGAACACAAGGAGACAGGGACATGGGGAGATGGAGTGATGGGGAGCACTGGGGCCCATGTCCTTGGGCAGGGGGACGTGGGGACAGGGGGAGTGCTGGGGCATGGGAACACCAGGAACACGGGGGACCAAGTCCTTGTGCATAAGGACACCCTGGGACACGGTGACATGCGGGGTGCCAGGGCACAGAGAGATGTGAGGGGCACTGGTCCTGGGATGTGGTGACACGTGGGGCCTCAGCCCCCAGGCAAAGGGACATGTGGGGTCACACATCACAGAATCACAGAATCACAGAATCTTCTAGGTTGGAAGGGACCTTAAAGATCATCTTGTCCAACCGTCAACCTAACTGACAAAAATAGACACCCGCACAACAAACAAGGAGCATCATCACTAAACCAGACCTCCCAGCACTACATCAACCCGGCTTTTGAACACCTCCAGGGATGGGGCCTCAACCACCTCCCTGGGCAGCCCATTCCAATGCCTGAGAACCCTTTCAGTGAAAAAATTTTTCCTAATCTCCAGCCTGAACCTCCCCTGGTGTAACTTGAGGCCATTTCCTCTTGTCCTGTCGCCTGTGACTTGAGAAAAGAGACCGACCCCCACCTCTCTACACCCTCCTTTCAGGGAGTTGTAGAGAGCAATAAGGTCTCCCCTCAGCCTCCTCTTCTCCAGGCTGAACACCCCCAGCTCCCTCAGCCTCTCCTCATCAGACTTATTCTCCAGACCCCTCACCAGCTTTGTTGCCCTTCTCTGGACCCGCTCCAGCACCTCAATGTCTTTTTTATGGTAGGGGGCCCAAAACTGGACACAGTACTCAAGGTGAGGCCTCACCAGTGCCGAGTACAGGGGGACAATCACCTCTCGGGCCCTACTCGCCACGCTGTTCCTGACACAGGCCAGGATGCTGTTGGCTTTCTTGGCCACCTGGGCACACTGCTGGCTCCTGTTCAGCCGACAGTCCACCAACACCCCCAGGTCCTTTTCTGCCTGGCAGCTCTCCAGCCACTCTGCCCCCAAAATCACATGGAGGATGCAGAGCCTCTGGCTTGGCAGGACCCTGCCATGGGGACACGGGTGTAGGGCTGAGCAGTGGGGGGCACCTGGAACTACGAGAGCTCCCCAGCCAGTCCTTGCCCCACCTGTGCCCTGGTCCCCCTCTCTCCCTCCCATCCCCTTCAGCTCTCACTTCTCTTTCTGTCCCTCTTTTTCTCTGTCCGTGGGTCCTGCAGAGCTCATGGCTCTCCCCACTGTCCCCTTTGTTCCCTTTTTGCTCTTTCCCTGACATTTTTGGGCTCAGCTGCACATGTCCTTCTTTCCTCATGTGCGTGTCGATGCACAAGGCTGGGGCTGTGTCACTGTGCCTGTTATTCCCCCCCCCCCAGCACCTCTGACGCAGGAGGGAGCTGGGAAAATGGATTGGGGGCCACTCAACACCCACTTGGGTGGCAGGAAGGGGACAAGAGAGTGGGACAATGCAGGGCGGCCCTATCTACAGGGTGACATTGGCTTGTCCAGTCTGATTGAGGTGACCATCAGTGGGGATGTCCAGTCCCAGGGTTGGGTGCCCTGTGACTTGGGGGGCTGCAATGGGGCAGGGGCCCATGTCACAGGGCTGGGAGCCAGATGCCTTCTTTCTGCCCCACATTTAGGATGTATGGCTCCACCTTCACGTTGTGGTTCAAAACTGTCATTCAATGTTGGCCTTACGTCTGCTTCCTCCTCCCTAGTGCATCCTGTTGCGTGTCAGCAGCTGGAAACCACCCCAGCCTTGGTGACGTACCCTGAGTGCTCGGCAGCTGTTAAAGCTGCTGGTCATCTTGTGGTCCCCACCTCCTGTCTGGCAGCTCGGACCACAGGAACGTGGGCAGGACGTGGGGCACGACGTAGAGGAGGAAGAGGAAGGGTGCCAGTGAGGAGGGGGCTGGTGCCAGTCCTGTCGGGGTGACACACGGTGGGGCCAGCCCTCTTTGTGACATTTGTGTGGACCCAGCTTGTGCAGAGGCCATCACCCAGAGATGTCCCAGCTGGTGCCTTCACCCAGATCCGCTGCTGCCTGCGTCATCCTCCTCCTTGGCTGTGCTTGGCTTGGCTCAGCCACCCAATTGTCCCCAAGTAAGTGCACTGGTGGGTCCGGGGTGTGATGGAACAGGGGAGGGAGGCTTCGCTGGGACACCCCGACACAGGCACCATCCCTGGAGGTGTTCAAAAGACGGGTTGATGTAGCGCTGGGAGGTATGGTCTAGTGATGGTGTTGCTTTTTGCTTGTTGTGCGGGTGTCTATTTTTGTCAAAGTTAGGTTGACGGTTGGACAAGATGATCTTTAAGGTCCCTTCCAACCTAGAAGATTCTGTGATTGTTTCCCTCTATACTTGGAGGGTGTCACAGTGAAAGCTCAGGGCACTTCCCTGCTGCCTTTCCTGTGTGTCCATGTTGAAAAGCTAAGTGAAGACCTGAAACGCCTCCACCCCTTCCCCTTCTGACAGCAAAAATCAGGTTACTGCTCTCCTAACATGGATTTACACCATCGTCTGGATGTGGAGAGGTGGCAGAGCTTGCGAGAAACCTGTTGGATGTAACCGGGGTCCCCTGGGGCTGGGTCATCCTGGGGACCACTTGGATGGAGCTTTTGGGGCCAGGGTTGATGTGCAGAGGGACAGAGCCTGGCTGTGATTTCTGAGAGAGCCAGAAAAGGGATTTAACCAGGAGTTGTTTGTCTGGTGTCCCGAGACCTTCCCATTCTTCACTTTTGTTCTGAGCGTGCAGTGGAAGCCTCCAGCCACAGGAAGACGGGGAGGAGTGTGCAGAGCTGGCTGCGGTGGGGCCAAGCTGGGGTGGGGGGGCTGGCCAGGAGGAGGAGGAGGAGGAGGCAGAAGCCCTGGTGGGAGAACATCTCCCATCCTGGCATGGGTGGCCTGAGACGCGGGTTTCCCACCTGACCTTTTTTATCCCCTTGGGTTGCGGGGAACCTCTTGTGCTGAGCTCAGTAGGAAAAGGGACATCGGCAGAGCCGTGTGTCCCCGAGGCGGCGTGCGGGAGCCCGTCTGGGCTGCGGGCAGGGTGCCTGTCTAGGCTGGCACCACCGCGGTGGCACCACTGGGAGGGTGGCACGGACAGCACAGGATGTGGCTCCAGGCGGTGAGAGCGGCAGGACGTTAAGGGCTCCCATGTCTCGAGCTGCCCCTGCCATGGGAGAGGGAGATATCAGCTTCTGCATTTGCTGGTGGCTCCGCAGGGTGGGTGACAGCTCCTGTGTTGTTCTGAGTGGGAAGGGACAGTGGGAGGGGGCTCTCTGCCAAGCCTGATGCCTTGTGTCCTCTGCAGCGCGTGGCAAAGGACGAGCCTTGATCCCCCTCACTCCCCAAGAAGAAGCCAAGTGTCCCAGTGTCTCTGTGGAAGCTTTTCTCAACAGCACCCTCACCACCCACCTCCTCCCTGCCCTCTACTCTGTGGTCCTGCTCGTGGGGCTGCCGACTAATGCTCTAGCCTGCTGGGTCTTGGTGGCCAACTTCAGGAGATGTTCCAGCACCCTTTTCCTGCTCAACCTGGCCAGTGCTGACCTGCTCTTCGTCCTCCTGCTGCCCTTCAAGATCTCCTACCACCTCTTGGGCAATGACTGGGTCTTTGGGGACTACCTGTGCCGCACCATGATGGCCTTCTTCTATGGGAACATGTACAGCTCCATCCTCTTCCTCACCTGTATCGGCCTGGAGCGTTACATCTCTGTGGTGCACCCATTCCTGTGGAAGGGCTCCAGTTGGATGCGGGGCAAGGTGTGTGTCTGTGTGGGCATCTGGCTGGTGGTAGGGCTGGGCATGATCCCGCTGCTTTTCCGCACCCAGATAAGACAAATCTCGAGCCTGAACATCACAACTTGCCATGATGTCCTAGAAAAGGATGAGCACATGTTCTTCGCCTACTATTTCCTCTCCGTCGTGGGAGTGGGCTTTGGCTTGCCCTTTGTGCTCATGACCATCTCCTACAGCTGCATCCTGGTACGGCTGCTGGCCAAGGGGAGACAGCATAGGCAGCTGGTGTGTGTCCTGGCTCTGGTCCTCCTGGTCTTCATCCTCTGCTTCACTCCCAGCAACGTGCTGCTCTTCATCCACTACATGCTGGAGGCCAAAGGGTGCCATAACGGCACCTACAAGTGGTACACCATGGCCCTGGTGCTCAGCGCCTTCAACAACTGCTTTGATCCCTTTGTCTACTTCTACGTTTCCAAGGATTTTCGGGGCTGGGTCCGGGATGCCATCAGCTGCTGCTCAGGGAGGCTCAAGACCTCATCAGGGAGGCCCTCAGAGAAGACAGTCTTGCCCCTGAGGTCCAGCGAGCAGAGCCAGCAGGGCTAAGGGGTGCTGGACTGTGTCCCCCTGCCCTGGGGAGGGGGGGGACAGCTTGGTACCCAGCTCAAATGGCTGCACTTTCCCAGGCTGGTGGCAGATTTAGGCAGAAAATCCTGCCCTGGATGGGAGATTCACTAGGGTTTTGCCCCAGTTTTGCAGTTCCTCTGACACGGCTGGTGCTGTCCCTGTCCCATACGTCCACCAGCTGGGTGCCTGGCCCTGGTACCCCAGTCTCCCCTCCTGCCAGACCCTCTTATCCCTCCCCAGTCCTCCTGCAGTGACCAAACCCTCCAGAGTACAAATAAAATTTTATTTCTCCCTGATGGTGGAAGGAACAGGTATAAACACTCCGGTTGAGCAGGATCCGTCCTCCATCGCCAGGACTACGTGCCCCGCACACATGGCCAGCCCCGCTCCTGTTGACCTCCCCCCCTAAAATATGCCACAGTAGATGAAAGAATGGAAGTGGGGGATGACTTGGGTGTCTTGACCCTGCCCCACAGGCCCAGCGCTGGGGAGGGGACCTCATGCTGGCAGGTTCCACTTGCCCCCCTGCCTGACACCATGTGGTGCTGCCAAAACATGCGGACAGGCTTTTATTCTCCCTTTCTTCCCTCGGCACTGGGCCTGATGGCAGATGTGCCCCCCACGAGCAAGAGCCACGTGTGGCAGCATCCTCAGCCCTCCCAACAGGGGGTACCGTCCCTCAGCATCCCAGCTCCCACCAGTCCCCTGGTCCCCTCTCCCAGCTCAGTGCTGGGGTCAGGACAAGGAGGAAGCTGTGGGCTCCATGATGTGGGAGCATGGGGTACCCATCATTGCCGCCGCTAGGCGCGACTTGACCCCCAGGTTGGTGGCTGCTCCTTTGGCACAGTGGGTCATGTCACCGGCTGGCCCGGCCCCGGTGGCTGGCCCTCATTCTTCCTGAGGATGACGCTGCTGAGCTCCTGTATGAGTTTGTCGTTGATGGGGGAAGGAGGCTGGATGCTCCTCTTCCTGGGGCTCTCCAGGGGGGCCTCTGCACTGGGACTGCTCCCTGGTGTGGCTACCTGCTCCCAGTCCCTGGCCAGTGCCAGGGAAGGCTCCACGTTCCTCTCCAGAGAGGCTGTTTTTGTGGGTTTGAGCCCGTGGGATGGAGATTTGTCGCTCTCCAGGTTCAAGCCCCTTTCGAGGGACAAGGCTTTGGGGATGGAGGGACCCACCACCCTCTGAGCCGGGCTGGCGGGCAGCGAGGAGCGCAGCGCTGTGCCTGGGGGCTGCTCGGGGAATGGGGCCGGCTTCTTGGACCTGTCCACAGTGGGCATGGCTGACAGGTCTGCCAGCAGCCCTTGCCCCAGCTGCAGTGCGGCCAGCTCTGGGAAGTTGCCCACCTCCTCGTAGACAGGATCAGCATCCACCTCCTTCTCCTGCTGCTCCTCCAGGGAGTCCTGATGCATCTTCATGGGCTAGGGAAGGGCAGGGGGTCAGTGTGAGAGGCATGGTACGCACTGCTCAGCTGTACCCCTCCATACCTGAGGAGCTTTGTCCCCTCAACGTGTAGATGAAAGAATGGAAGTGGGGGATGACTTGGGTGTCTTGACCCTGCCCCACAGGCCCAGCGCTGGGGAGGGGACCTCATGCTGGCAGGTTCCACTTGCCCCCCTGCCTGACACCATGTGGTGCTGCCAAAACATGCGGACAGGCTTTTATTCTCCCTTTCTTCCCTCGGCACTGGGCCTGATGGCAGATGTGCCCCCCACGAGCAAGAGCCACGTGTGGCAGCATCCTCAGCCCTCCCAACAGGGGGTACCGTCCCTCAGCATCCCAGCTCCCACCAGTCCCCTGGTCCCCTCTCCCAGCTCAGTGCTGGGGTCAGGACAAGGAGGAAGCTGTGGGCTCCATGATGTGGGAGCATGGGGTACCCATCATTGCCGCCGCTAGGCGCGACTTGACCCCCAGGTTGGTGGCTGCTCCTTTGGCACAGTGGGTCATGTCACCGGCTGGCCCGGCCCCGGTGGCTGGCCCTCATTCTTCCTGAGGATGACGCTGCTGAGCTCCTGTATGAGTTTGTCGTTGATGGGGGAAGGAGGCTGGATGCTCCTCTTCCTGGGGCTCTCCAGGGGGGCCTCTGCACTGGGACTGCTCCCTGGTGTGGCTACCTGCTCCCAGTCCCTGGCCAGTGCCAGGGAAGGCTCCACGTTCCTCTCCAGAGAGGCTGTTTTTGTGGGTTTGAGCCCGTGGGATGGAGATTTGTCGCTCTCCAGGTTCAAGCCCCTTTCGAGGGACAAGGCTTTGGGGATGGAGGGACCCACCACCCTCTGAGCCGGGCTGGCGGGCAGCGAGGAGCGCAGCGCTGTGCCTGGGGGCTGCTCGGGGAATGGGGCCGGCTTCTTGGACCTGTCCACAGTGGGCATGGCTGACAGGTCTGCCAGCAGCCCTTGCCCCAGCTGCAGTGCGGCCAGCTCTGGGAAGTTGCCCACCTCCTCGTAGACAGGATCAGCATCCACCTCCTTCTCCTGCTGCTCCTCCAGGGAGTCCTGATGCATCTTCATGGGCTAGGGAAGGGCAGGGGGTCAGTGTGAGAGGCATGGTACGCACTGCTCAGCTGTACCCCTCCATACCTGAGGAGCTTTGTCCCCTCAACGTGGGGCTGATGACTGTAGGTGACCTGCCCTTCATCATGTCTCTTGACTCAGCCCCTGTTGCCCTTTCTTTCCCCATCGCTGCTGGAGGGGGAGCGTTTTGGTCCCTGCTGAGGGACCCTGCTGGTCCATGCCCCCAGGCTGTGGCACTAGCCCAGCATCCCTTGGCAGGGGTGATCTGGAGTGGGGAGGACAAATGGGAGCCCATGCAGAGCACAAAGCCACCTGAGGTGAGGTCCAGCCAGGTGGCCCCCGGGAAAATAACCTGATGGCGAGGAGGACCCAAACCTATTTCCTTCCATTTCTTAAGTTGATCCTCTCTAGGTGATGTACACCCAACAAGGAGATACTCTGGGAGCTGGGCTGGAACGGTCTTGCTTGCACACACTGGGACCATGCAGGGACCCCCATCCCCGGGTATGGGACACACAGGGCAGTGGGCACCCCCTCCTCTGCCCCATGGGATGGGCAGGATGGCCTGGGCATGCCCCTGAGTGTAGGTGAGATGCTGCAGGCGAGCTCTTGCTGCCGTAGCCAGGAGGCACGGTGCAAAGCCAGCAACGGACGTGCTCCACCAATGCGGGTACTTACAAAGAACATGGACAAAGTCCTTCGCGTGTGCAGGCGGCGCTAGAAACAGAGGAGACGGGCAGAGGTAAGCACACGATGGCATGGAGCAGGGTCACGGATGCCTGGGCAGGCAGAGGACGGACAGAGGGGTGCAACACAGGGCCCTGCACCCCATGGAGAGGTGCCACAGACACGAGCACAGCATGCAGCACGCACACACAACGCCGAGCAGGGGAACACACTCTCAAAGCATTCATCAGTGCCAGGCAGCACGCACCCATCTCCAGGGCCCGGGGGTGGGTCCATAGTTTTGGGACAGGTGCTTGGACCTGGATGGGTGCAGGAGCACCTGTGGGCAGGGGGAGCTGCGGGGGCTTTACCAGGGTCTGGTTGGCGGAGAGCATGGTGGCATCGGTGCTGTCCCCATGCAGGGGCACCAGTGGCATGGTGCCGAACTTCTGCTTGGCAAGGTCAGAGGAGGAGCGCCGGCGCATGATCACGGGGCGCAGGTCATCGTGCTGTGCACAAGGACAGGGCAGGGATGGCGGGGAGGTCATGCCAGGCTGCCCTGCCAACCCCTGTCCCAGCCCATCCCAGCCAGCCTTGCACCCACCTGAGCCTTGAGGATGCTGGTTGTCCAGTCCCACAGCTCAGCCTGCCCTGAGCACACCAGATACCTGCAAAGGAGTCAGCTGAGAAGCTGCCAGGGAGCAGGGCCAGCAGGACCTACATCTCCTTGCCAACTTGCCTGTGAGCCCCAGGGCCATCGGGCACAACTGCACCCAGTGGGGCTGCCCCTCTGAAACTCTGCATGCCCAAATCATGGCTTCAGGGCAAGGCAAGAGTTCATTGGGCACTCATGAGGTACTTCGGCTCAGCTGCCCTTAGAAGAACATCTCAGCCCCATGTCTAGGGCAGGTCATGTGCTCATCTGCTGCCCCAGCACCGGCAGTGTCAGGGAAATCGGTACAGAGTCAGCAGGATGCACGGGTGTCCCCAGCCACCCAGGGGTACCAGAGAGGCCAGGGCAGGGAGCCCAGCTTGGTCCAGGGTGCAGAAGCACCTGGTGTTGGGTGCTTGGGGACACAGAGCAGTGTTAGGCAAAGGCTGGCAGGCAGCACAGCTATGCGGGTGGCACCCACACCTGGACAGGGTGGGCAGGGGACCCTCTGGAGCCTGGTGCCGGGTGCTTGGAAGATGCATCTCTCAGGGGTGCTGGTGTGGATGGGGAGGTAGGAAGGGCGCATGATATAGAGATGGCCTCCACCTCATGCCAGGGAGCAAGTAGCCCCACCACGCCATCCCTTGAGTGCCCCAACCAGGCACCAGCTCTTCCCTGACCCCCAGAGCCCTGGAGTACTGCCCCTGGCTGTCCCAATCCCACTAAAACTGGGGACAGATCCCAACATCCCCCCAGATCCAGGATCACATGGGCAGATACTCACAGCTGCTGCTTGTCCACGATCAGTGTGAAACCCCACCTGGGGAAAGGAAGATACAGGCTGTGAGGCAGCACCACCAAGCTCAGACGCAGCCCGGGGTCCATGGGCTGCTGGGTGTGGGGCTGAGCTTGCCCCATGGGCCCACGTTGTCATGGCTTTGGGTCCTGGTGGAGCTTTGCATGCTCCCAATAGCTGGGTTCACGTGCCAGGTGCTGGGGGCAGGCACCGAGGGATGCAAACCCCAGGGCCACATCCAGAGAAGGTCCCACTTACTGGGCTGGTGGCTTCAGCTTCTTCCTAATGCCCATGTAAACCTTGGCTGCATCCAGGGGCCACTCACGCTCCGGCTTGGCACTCTGGGGAAGGAGAACCATTGGGTCAGCCCAACTTAGTGCCAGCCTCCCTGCCAGGAGGACAGCCACCACTGTGCCACCACTGTGCCTCCCCCTCCCTGCCTCTCCTCCTGCCCTCAGGGCACCAGTCCAGCTCCAGAGCATCCCCTGGGTACCCTCTTCTCCTTGAGCAGCAGCAGCCTCCGGTCCCGGATGACGAAGTAGCGCTCCTGAAACTTGTTCCCCAGCAGCTTGGGGGGCTCCTCACGACACTTTAGCAGCCCACACTTGGGGGTCTCACGCTTGGCACCTGCCATGTGGGAGGAAACA